AACACTCCCACCCAATTTATTGTTGTCTGCATCTTACACTGTGAGCTTACACTCATGCTACGTATTTCTGTCACATTCTGTGGAAGTAACTAAAAACAAGTGAGCAAATATGAGTAGTGCCCACTATCACAGGCAGGCTTTCTTAGCATTCCAGTCTAATGACAAAATCCAAGATTTTTTTACACACTTACCAGACATTTGCTTGGATATTCAGCAGCTACATGACTTGCAATAGCACTTGGAAAGCACTAAACAAAAAAAGCAACAAAATAAGCATTTACCTAGTTGAAAATTACAAAAATTACAACTGAGTTACAGTGATTCCCGCTAGTCACAGATCACATCCTAAACGTCCTGAAAAGGTAAAACGGTGTAGACTTATTATGACAGTATTAGGAATCAATGAGTCAAATGGAGATAAAACTAATCTTCATTTAACTTGCATTTAGTGAGTATCATGTATTAAACCTACAGATACTGAAATATGATTATCCTCAAAACTTGGCACTTTTACATAAACACCTAATGAACCCTACTGAACTTTAATTCCAAATGCTGAAAAAATTCTTTTTCATCTTTGTCCACTTCATGCTGAAGGATTTTCCAGACACAGGAGACATATATAAACCTAACGTTCATTGTCTTCTTTCTCAACTGGTTCAATCTGCGGCAAGCAGGGCTGCGCAGCATCCTTCATGAATCCACTGCTCCTAGGCACAGGCTGTTGTTAGTGACAAGGATTACCAATCACAGTCTCAGGCTTTTAAAACAGTTAAGGCTGACAGGCTAAAGATGATGTTCTAAGGACTCTACCATGTTGAAACTAAACTCAACTTTTTATTTTGCAGCCTGAAATATTCTAAGCCATAGGTCTTATTTGACAAAACACTTCACTTCTAATACCCTTGTTTTATTACTCATTTCCATTTTACTGAACTGAGGACTTGTCCTGGTTTCAGCTGGGATAAAGTTAATTTTCTTCCTAGTAGTTTGTATAGTGCTGTGTTTGGGATTTAGTATGAGAATAACATTGGTAACACACCGATGTTTTCAGGTGTTACTAAGTAGTGCTTATATCAAGTCAAGGATTTTTCAGCTTCTCATGGCCTGCCAGAAAGAAAGCTGGAGAGGCACAAGAAGTTGGCAGGGGACACAGCGAGGGCAGCTGACCCAAATTGGCCAAAGGAATATTCCATACCATATGACATCATGCCCAGTATATAAACTGGGGGAAATTGGTCAGGAAGGGCAGATCGCTGCTTGGGAACTGACTGGGCATCAGTCAGTGAGTGGTGAGCAATTGCATTGTGCATAACTTGTTTGGCAATTCTATGATTATGATTATCATTACTATTATTTTCTTCCTTTTCTGTCCTATTAAACTGCCTTTATCTCAACCGATGAGGTTTGGGTTTTTTTTTCAATTCTCTCCCCCATCCCACTGGCTGGGGGGAGTGAGCAAGCGGCTGTGCAGTGCTTAGTTGCCAGCTCGGGTTAAATCACAACAGGATGGAAAATGTATCAGAATGTTTTATAAGAACCAAAGTATTGTAAAACAAAATACAGCAAGCATCCTGCATAAATATACGAAGTATACTGAAGCACTAATTCATTTGCTAACCAGCAACTGCCAATTAGTATTGGGACCAAATAAATAGTCCAGTATGGAGGGGGGAAAAAAATTTAAAAAAAAAAAAAAAAAAAAAAAAAATCAAAGACACTGTTTTAAAAGACTACCAGTACCTTCATTTTGAACTACTTACAGCAACTAAGATCCAAAAGAATGTTACTGAAAGATATGGACCTGAGACTAGAACATCCATATTCAAAGCAATTATTCCACCAAATACTGATGAAATTCCAATTATCACCTCAATTACCTAAAACAAAGAGCATACAAGTTAATAACAGTGCATTTGAACACTAAATTTCCTATTTGCATATAGAAAGGAACTCACTGGAAGGAAAAAAAAAAAAGCATTTATGCTATTAGCTATGCATGAAGTCAATGTTTTTCTGATCTGAAATATGGCAAAACTCCAGCTGGCTTAAGTGAAAACAAGATCAGCTTCATTATACATACTTATTTATTAGCTCCACTGAACAATAGTTCGGTTTACACCACTTATCCTTAAGTCATTAAGTAGCCTCCATCCTATTATACATGGCAGTTACCATTTATCTTGCAACATTCTAAAAGGAAGATATCTCTCTCATTTCTGTCTTTATTCTTTCAGCTCTTACCTACACTGATCTTGTCCTGGCTTTAAAGAAGCTTAGCACTTAGAAAGATGAAAGAACAAATTTATTTAATAATAGAAAACAACACTTTTCTTACTGAGTATGACTTCAGAATTCGAGTAGGAAAGCTGACATTGCCCAAAACGATGGTACTGTCATATGCAGTATTCTAGAGGGGAATAAAAACTCATGATCAAAAAAATACACAAAGCGATCTATTTCCTTCTAACATCCTGTACAACCTGCTACAGGTTCTAACAGTGGCATGCAATGTCTGGTGGGCTCAGCAGAGCTGACAGTGACACACCACAATGTTCGCCAGTGTCAGATCACATCAATCACATTAAACACAAATCAGGTAGTCCCAGATTAGCTGTTATACAACCACCGTTCAACAACGAAATATGGTCATCTTGTCTCCCCTTTCCACTTTCAAAATACTTTCTTCCTGAGCCTTCAGATTTTACTGATGCGGATAAACAGTAACTGATGGAGGACAGTACACTACACAACTATCCAGCAAGCAACATTTCCACTGGAACACAAAATGGCACAGCACATCTGCTTCATTATTACCTCGAGAGAGAACAACAAGGGTGGGATTTGGGAGAGCACTTATGACTATAAGAAAATTTTATCTATAGCCCTAAATCCTGAAGCAAATATTCATTGTCCAGATGCCACCAAACTGGCATACATGGCAAACACTTTCTCCACCTCAGGCTTCAAACAGACATTACTTGCCTACATAGAAGTCACAGTATTCTAACGTTTCATACATCATTAAGTTTTGCTCTACAAAACAGAAATAAAGCTTTTGCTGTGCCTGTTCATAAGACATTCAAACAACCCTGTACTGTATAATTGCAACAGGTCATTTTGCAGAGAGCCCACTGCACTCTTAAAAAGAGGCTGTTCCTGCTTAGTATGGTGCTTTTATTTATTGTTCAAATATAGTTTTACCATGTAATATGAAGTTATATACTAGAGTTGCCAGTAACTTGTAACGTGTGTAATACAGGAAATATTTGATATTTTTTAACATCTAAAAAAAAAAAAAAAAAAGATGAAGAGACAAGGGTACCTACTTTCTTTCTCGTACAGCAGTCCTCAGTAGACCTAGCTGAAATGATCACAGTAGTTGCCATGAAGATTTCCAGCAGAATAAGCAGAATCAAGTTGAAATTTATCTGTCAGTAAAAGCCCAGACATAAATGAGTTACATTTTCCATATTAAAGATAAAGGAGGGGGGCAGGATCTAGCAGGATGCAGCACACTATTTTCTGTAACATTTAGACATATCTATTAATTAGATACCTTGTTAACCTTTTTCTTGGTTCTTGATGAATTTCTAGGACAACACTTATCTGTCTACATAATACTCAGAATGCCTAACCTAAGGAAGAAACATTTATTTAATTTATAGGAATATTCTGCCTGAAGGTTTTATCACTGTCTTGCAGAAGAGCACTTAATGACAAGGGGGTGATTGCTGGGTACGTTTGCGTTCTGCAGGACCTTCCATATGCAACCAGAACACTGCAGCAAATGATGGAAGATTCACAGGAACAGAAAGGGGATGAATAAAAGAAAGCCTGACTAGCCCAAGGGCTAAGGCAATCCACTGCAGGGGGGAAGGAGGGCCACAGGCTCCCATCTCCTATGCTGCAATCCAAACGGTGCGATAAATACGGCTAACGCTGAATGAAAACACAATCCAAAGAACTGGGCCAAGAATCCTAGCTCTGTGCTCTTCCTAGGGCTAGTAGAGCATTGATGAACACTTGTGGTTTCATAACTCTGAAGGTCTAACAGACTACATTATTGTGCAAAAACATGGATGCTGCCATTCCTCTGCCATGGCTCATTTTCAAGAGACAAATATGTGTAATGCTCAACATTTCTCTTTGGTTCCTTACGAAAAGAGGTAGATAGCTACTTTACATGGGCTGAATAATTTTGTAGAGGCACACAAGTTAGGCAGAGTGGATCTAGCTCTCTTGTCTTCAAAGGCATGGTACTTTTCCACTGTCAGCCCAAGAAAACATTTGGTGGTTAGGTCCATTAGGCAAAGTACCAGATTTTCATGGAGAATTGACTCCATTCAGAATGTATATACCTGTGAATATGACCTATTCAGAACCTATATACCGAACCATGTTCAACGACTTACAACAGAATTATACTGTTCCCTCATGTCGGACCTGCTTTGTAGATGACCAAATCTCAGCTTTCCTCTGACATATCTTGCAGTACATGTCTTTTGAAAAAGATCGTAAGTGGCAGATTTGAGAGGCTTTTTTGGGCACTGAAGTTCATCCTTCTCAGGAAATCATAGTCAGAACTATGTGCCTTGCAGTACAGAACAGACTGTAGAGTTGTACTAGAGCCACAAACACCAATAAATGTCATAGTGGTAAGCTTCTAGGGAAAGTGCTAGCACGAAGAATAAAGCCATTATTTGGCAAAAGAAGAGGTGTTAAACATGTGGCCTGCAGAACAACTTAATCTAGCCTGTAAATTCCCATGATTTGGACGTGTTTGGACATTAGTGCTGGTACTGACACGGGCTGGCACGGCCACGCTATACAGTGCAGTGCCAAGTAGACATACAAGTTTGAGTCCAGAAGCACTATAACTACATGGATGGACTAGCTCATTTAGTGCTAGCTATAAGTGATAAATAACAGAAATTGAGAAAGTAACAGTAAATAAATCAGAATTTTTAATTTTATCTTTCCAGTATTCCCATATTTCTGACATGACACATCTGGAGTATCACATAGAGCCTTCCACTCACGAAATTAGTTCAAAACCCCTAAACCAAAGCAAAAATATCTCATCTCCAGTTTTAGAGTTTGGGTGGGGTTGTTGTCAGTGCTTTTCAAACAAAAATACAGCTAAAGCTAGAAGCAGGCACCTTTTTACACCATCTGTAACGATGGGAAATTCGATGTTAGGTTTCTAAGCACTAAAGAAAATTCTCTCTACAACTACCACTATACAGAAAATGTATCGCCAGATGCAGAGAACCAAGCAAGCTCTTGTCCCTAATGCTCTTCCATGACTAAGGAACATGCAAGTGCAACTCGGTAGAAAGTAGTAGATTAGCACAACCTTAACCCAATTTGCTCTGAACCCTCGCCAGATATTAAAATCGAGGTTCACTGAAACTGTACGAAAGGGAATGAACTAATTGCAAGATTAAATAATTTGAAGTTCAATATAGTTGCTTAAATGCATGCTTTTAACATGATTTAAGATATCCTACTGATGCTTCAAGACATCTGCACAGGTCTGACAAATAATGACAGAGGACCTAAAGGACACTGATGCCCTGTTGGACCAGCAGCTGGAGTGAGGCAGGACAAACCAGCACATACCTAATGGATACACACACTTATGGTTAGGCAACCAAACCAAGCACCTACACTCCAGTATCTCTGTGTACCCACACTGCCTGCACTTCCATTACGGTCAGTGGAGACTTAAGTCTCTACGGACAACAGAGGGAACCCCAAAAGCTACTGGGCCAACCAGTTGCTAGAGGTGAGGTCCAATTATACTGGCTGATAGTGCCATCTGAAATACACAGGCATATTGAACTTGCATGAATGGGATCTATGACCCAGTATGGATGGGAGACTCTCACCCATCCAGAGAAGAAGCAGCAGCCAGGCAAGAGCATCTCACAGCACTTTCAAAATAAGAGATGTCTAAGTTCAGACCACAGAACCCTGCCGTGCCCATCTACGCTGAGGCAAACAAGGTTGTACTGCACGGTCCCAAGGACTGAATCATCTCAACTATAACGCAGGTACAGACACTCAACTAACAAGGAGACAATAAATGTATGTACTAAATTTGGAGTTAATTCGAATCCTGTTCAAGATCTGAATGCTTTCTGTTGCAGTGGCCAGCATGCACGAGGTTCCACTCATTTTTGTCCATCAGGCTTCTTACTCTGAGAGCTGGAAAGGAACAGAATGGCAGCAGCGGCAGTTTGCATCTTTTACACATCGCATCCTCCACGTTGGCAGTACACTAACCACAGTACTGAACCCTACTGGAGTGCTGTCAGTGTCACAGCCTAGGACATGGCTTGTATCTTGCGTCCATTTATCTGTCTAAAGTAATTTTATAGAGTTATTCATAAACACAAGTAACACTAATGAAGAATTACCAGGGTCCTTTATAAAGGGGGGGGCGCTGTTAAATATTAATTGCCTTAATTGGTTAAACTTATTCTTTTTATGAGTCTTACTGCTTTTAAACTACTGGCTGTGATTTCACATCAGACCTAGTATTATTTTCTTGTGCCGTTTCCCATGGGGAGGGAAAATAAATATGATCATGAAAGAACAGTTAAAGAGATGGCATTCTACATGTTCTTTGTACTACATGGGTAATGGAAAATAGCTGGCAGTGAGCTGCCAAACAGTGAGACTGTCTCGCTAAAACAGTATCCTTCAAAGAGGAGAGCAAGTCAGCACCATGAATAACTCAAGACAGAAAGGTTTGAAAAATGTTCAGAGCCAGCTTTGCACACACAGTTATTCTGACTTATCTTTATTCAGTGATCGACATAGTATGAACACACAGTAGGCAAGTGAAAAGAATTAAACCCACATAACCAAGGGTGTCTTGTGGATATTATTGTAGATAACTAACATTTGGTAAAGACAGAATTTGCCTTGTTATAAATTTAATGTTTGTCACTTATAATTTTCCAGTCTAATATAATCTCTTTTTTCGAATGGTTTGATCTGCCTTGAAAAATACAAAAGCTGTTAATATTTAATAATAGAAAATGCAAATTTTAATGCAATCTGAAAACTACTCACTCCAAAAGTGTGCAATTAAAGTTAAGCTCTAACACAGAAGGCCAGCTCAAAGCTTCTCAAGAGCATAAGCTAAATTGATTTTGTCACACTGGGGCTCATGACAAAATAACTATTTATTGTCGTGGCAAAATGAGTCCCTTGGGCCCACCTTTCTTGGGCAGACATAGCCCTCCGCTATTCCAACAGCACTGTGATCCTGTCTACCAGGGGAATGGAATGCAAATGGACTGGCAGTCTCCAGTCACACTTCTCTGCTCTTCTACCTCAGAATGCTTGGACTAATATTTGGACCCTCTACTAAGAAAGGAAGGCAAAAGGGAAAAGGCAGTATCCCCGTGTCTTATATGTAATTCACTCAGCCCCAACAGCCTAAGACACTTGAGGGGGCAAATGTATGACGGAACTACCACACTAGCAATAAGGTACCAAAGGCTGTGCAAAGAAATGTCTGGTGTAAACTGCCCTGAGACACACACACAACCCAGGGGGCCACAAGGTCATCCCACAATGGGACACGGCAAAACTGCCCGCATCTAACGCCAGTACTGCTTGAATCCAAGTGGTCTGGCTGTCCAGAGTGCTAAACCTCCACAGCTCCCACTGACTGCAGTACTCCATCTCTCTGAAAATTGGGCCAGCTGCACAGAAATGTGAAGCTAGACTTTGCTACCTAATTTAAAAAACAGGTTTGTAAGCGTTGGCCTAATACACTGCACTTTCTAAAAGGAAGTAAACACAGTTAATTTAAAAGTTCAATATCTGTGAAATCTGGAGGTAACCAGATGTTATTAAAATAGCATAGATAACTCCAAAGCAAACTCTATCTCTGCGCTATGGTTATATTAGAAAAGTCTTTTGTTACTAACACCAATTCAGATCTGCTATATTATTATACAGAGCTGTTATTACTGCTGAGCTCTTAGTATCACAACAGCTGATATGATAGTGGGAGAACTGAACAATAGCACATGAGAGCACTCGTCAACCTTCATACGAAACGCATGACATAGTTGTATTGACTACTGCTATTCTGTGATAGTCTATTATGAATACTCATCAATGGTAATGATAATACCTATCACTACATTATTTATTTATACATGTAATATTCTTATGTAGTATAGAGGTCTCAGAACATTTTACCATAGCAAAAAAGACCAAAACCGACCTATTGTTCTACTGTTTCACTCAGACTAGCAAAGACAGGTGTTAAAAGGTTGTTACTCAAATCCAGTGAACTCTTCCAAGCATGAAATATGTGTGCTCCAAATGACTACATTCTCCTTGTTGATGATGTGCAAGAAAAATATTCATCAAAAGTTTCTTTCCTGGTGGCTTCACAAGCAAAACTATCAATTAAAGAAGATTCAGGAAAGGATAATACTTAATCTGATGATGAAGTGTCCTAGAAGTAGCACTGTTTGGGACACCTTCTCATTGCAGTACAATTCAACCCTAATTTTCTCTTCTGACTCTGCTCTTTCAAAAAACAAATAAACAAAAACCCAACAAAACTTGTTATAAGCAACAGAAAAATAAAGTGGGTTTATCAGACTAGATCACATTTGAAGACCTTTGAATACAAGAAGACAGGAAAGTGATTTCAATATTAATCTCCTCTAAGGTACCATGTGTCTTTTAGCCATCCAAGTTTTGACCTTTGATGTCAATTTTCCAGTCTTGTCTTACTGCTAGATGATCTCTCCTTACAGACTGAGTAGAAATACTGGGGCATTGACATGTAGCTACATGTGATCTCCACCCACATAAACCCCGCGCTTTTTTTAAGCAAAGATAACTGTAGCATTAATCAGTAATTGTTTTAGTAACTTACATTTATAGCTGATGGATTGAGGACAAGTTTGCATCCAAACCAAATTAAACACGTTGTTGTAACAGCAAATGTAGAAACAAACAGAATCTGAAAATTGGGTATCTGAAAAACAGTTTCAGAATGGGTTTCTCTCTCATTTTAACCACAGGTGGGGAAAATATATATAAAATTGCCAATAAAATCTTATACATACCACATTAATTTTATTCCTTGCTATAGCAAAGCTCACAACTGCTGAAGGAATACACTGGGAAAATTAAAAGAGAAAACTAGTGGGATATTTTGCACAAAGTATTTTATATATATTTCTATATATGTCTTTTATTTGGTCTGAATTCATATTTCAGTTAACTTAGACAAACAGAAGACCAGAAACTTGAGAAAAGTCTGTCACTCTTGTCTGAGCTCATTAATTACAATCAGTATCTGAGGATTACAAGAGGTTTAAATCTGCCTTCCACATCCCTCAGTTTTGAGTAGCTACCCGGCACAATGTGATGAGTAAAGGAAAGAAAGAAAGTCTTTCATGACGCATTTCATGCCTTTGTTAGTTCAAATTAACTCTAGAAGGCCTGAGATCCTTGAGCAGGAAAAGCACTGCTACTTCCCAGCTGGGCCTCCACATTCTTTTAAACAGACAAAATCATGGTTGTGTAAGCTAAAATTTGGCCAGTCTCAACACAGTTCTGAAGACCTTTGTAAAAACTCATCTGTTGAGACAAATTACACTTTAAGAATTGTGCCTGGGATATCCACTATATTCACTAGGAACTGTGTTTCTACACTTAAAGGCAGAGCTAAATGGAAAAAATCATGCATAAGTGAGAAGTTTTACACAGTAATTTCTCTATCCTTTAGATGTTCCTCACCACAACAGATAATGGTACCATTACAGATCCAACTCTATTTTACACAAATACATAATGTTACAACATACTAATAAGCAAAACAAAAATATACTCAACTAAAATTACTAAAAATGTTTCCATTTTAAATAATGAATCATGTAACAAATGCTGCATTTCTTTACTGATTATCTTCTCACACATCTGAACACTGACAGCTTAACAATGGAACCAGTATAACTAGATTTATATCACCATTTAAAATTCCTGGCAGCACTTCCTTAACACCTAAATGACCTGTATTTAACGTAATTAAAGCATGCTTTTATGTCTTGGATACCCTAGAGTCTCTACAACACTACATGGCTATGTGTAGGCAACTGAATCCTACTACTACTCGGTAAACTAGACACTTAATGATCAGTTGGCTATACAGCTCTCTAGGCTCTTCCAACTATATTGACTCCATGATCTGTAGTAGGAGCTGTAACACCCTGCTCACAGACAGACACCCAAATATACACATCTTCACCCACAGCAAGCCATCCAAACCCAACACAGTAACCTTCTGCATCTACCAGACCTTTGGAAATTCTCAATAAATACAAAGTTCAAAGAGACAAGATTTGGTGCAGAAAAAGAGACATCTTAGTAACTAACACTAACATCGCAGAGAATAACACATCACTGAACTTCAAACACTGCTTCGACTTTATTTTAACAGCTCGAGCAGAAACATAAGCGACAACTCATTCACAGAGCAAATCCTGGGATTTGTTTAAAGTAAAGGATGAGTCTTGCACCTAACTTAAAACACATCTGCAAGTCAAGGTGCAAAAATAACAATGACAGAACAGAATCCTGCCATGAATACAGCAAGTACGTGAGACTCATCTTATGCACACAGATCTAAAGTGTAGATTAAGCATATCTATTAAAAAAAATAGTCCCTAAAAATAGAGTAAAAAATACTGGACATTGGAAAATGTCAGACAGCTTTACTGCATATTTTACTGATAAAATAATAATATTCAAGAGAACTTTAGTCTGCCTCAGTGCTTGGCTATTATGACAAAAATAAACAGAAAAAGTAATGTTTTGAAATACAATCTGAAACACCCTCTCATAGCATTTAGCCAGGAAATTCCCCAAATACATAAAAACGCAAATTTTCTTAAAATCAAACAGAGATAAACTGTTCATGCAGATAACTACTGCATGCCAGCGGTGAGCTGGTTCATGAAAATGGTAGCACAAACCACTTGTTTTTATTACGACAATCTTTATCCCCTTAACCATGGGATGAAAACCCATTTAATGAACTGTTAAACAGTACTAAATCTTCCACGAAGAAAGTTAATAGTAAAAACACAGACAGAATAAAAGACAATAAATCCACAAAAATTATTTACTATTGATTTTGCTGTCAGCCACAGCAAATAATTAAGAATGCTTACTGAACCTGCTGCACAACGTAAATAATCCATTTCAGATGGAAAAATATTTCCCAGATATAGTGAAAATCCAGAAGTAATAAGGAGACAAGTCTGTAAAGCACAAATAAGATGAATTAATATGAATAAAACTATTTTTTAAAAAGCAACTAGTCAGATAGAAATCAGTAATTCCTTTCAAATTAAGGTACTGATGAACATTTAATAATGCAGGCTTCATGGGAATAATTTTGAAGAATCATATCAAAACATGCTCAGCTCTGAAGATGATGTTTTGCTGGTTACCAAGACTTAATACTGAACAATATAATCATGTTTGAATCAAGCATTGTGCCCTGACTTGGCAAATACCTAATAAAATGCTCAAAAGGTAATTGCAGTGTTCAGCAGTTAAAACGTTTCAGAAACCTCAGCTAAACCTCTACTTTGCATTCTCTGCTCGGCTCCACCAACACTCATTATGCATGTGGGCAGCTGGGCAACTACCAACGAGAACACAGTAACAAAAATAAAATTAGGATACATGGATGAAGATTCTTCCACCTATATTCCTGCCTCACTCCAAAGTCTCTTCCTGCTTTGGGCCGGTGGCAGACCCATAAGTGTTCAACTCCCTCTGTTCCCTTGCTAACTATTCCATTTATTTCACAATTATCAGAATTACACTGTCAGCAATAAATGATCAGTGTGTTCTACTAATGTGTTTTTCTTTTTGCTTGTCGTTCCTCTGAGTAGATATTGCTTTGAAGAGGCTGGGGAAGATGAGAGACAGAAAGGCTCTTGTGTTTTATTTGGCCTTTTTATTTGTGTTACAAAATTACAGGGGTCTTTAAAAAGTCCTTGTCAAAAAACAACAGAAAATAAGGACAGCATATGTGTATGCGTGTAAGCACACACACACAGAATTCTCCAGACTGGAAGAACAGTATTTATAGAACACAACTTGAAATTCTGCTTGGAGCACATTGAATTGCTCCCGCACAAGACCAGCCCCTACTGGCAGCCACTTCGATGTCACTCTACAGTTTGCAACTGCTCCCTTAAGTAGTTGGTTCTGTTCACTATTACCTCTGTGGCTCAGCACACAGACTTTCCTCTCTGGACACTGTCTTTCAGAAGAGTTGAGAGAGATTAACCTCTATAATATTTGGGAGAAAAATCTAATTGGAATTTATTGGATTAGTTTGTTAATAAAATTGCATTTTCAATTATCCATAAAATCTGTGCTTCTTGATAATATGACTTCAGGAAATGATCATTAAACATTTGGATCTCCAATCATTCACCACAACTCAGTAAGAAGGAAAAATCTAATCAAAGACGGTTGTCCTTTTTGTCAATTAAGTTTAAGAAAAATTAATGCAAAGAAAGCCTGCTCTTCTTTTGCCTTCTTTTCATGTAACAGTACATCTGAAAGGAAATCCAAGTTTTGCAGATTGTCAGAAAGGAAAAAATGTTCAGCTGTTTGCATGAAAATAAGGCAATACTGTTATTCATTGTGCAAAACCACGTAATTACCATATTAACAGTTAAACATTTTTAGCTCTTAATAAAAATTACTCTCCAAAACACATGAGGTGACAGAAAAAGAAAAGATCAAATTCTAATTGCTATAATGAACTTTAATTAACTTGGGTCAGAACATGAAGTGCATATGATGTACATGCAAGATCAGTGTCCTATGACTCTAGCAGTGACACAAAAATTCAAATCACTGTGACGTTCACGTATGAAACCCAAGTTGAACCTCACTACACAAAGATTCTACCAAATAAGTACATGACTATCAAACCTTGAAAGACAAATGTGGCAATTAAGTACCATATATATATTTTAATGCCAAAATTATATCATGTCAAGTAAAGTATTTTTAACAGCTAAAAATATGTTAAAAGAATGCACATGATCAGATTACCTTACATCCTTTACAAAAGGCACTGCTTATACATGCATATGGGTTGATATCTACCACTACCACACTTACTCTTTATTTATGCTACATGATTAATATTAAAGGCAAAAATCAGCCTTCACAGAGCATCTTTGATTAGTGCAGAATTATCCAAAGAATACCATTAGTCAATTAAGAGTTACATTCTAAATTTGCTAAATATGTTCCTTTCTGCACAAATATTTATATTCAATACTATCAATGATGAAATTCTGAGTCCCCAAATGATGTTACACAGAACAGATTACTGGGCACTGAGACCTCACCTGCATTTTTGAATTTTGTATCATTTAAAGTACTTACTCCCATCAGCAAAGAAAAGATCCATGTTCTGTAACTAAAGCAAGGATGCAGCCTCTTTGATAGCTGAAGGTCACTGGATTTGATATCTGGTATATAATTTCCATTCTCTTGTTTTCCCCGCTCCAAAGTTGGCATCCTGTCATAGCTGAATTCTTCTCTGTAACCTTCTTCCCTGGTCATAACACTTCACAAAGACAATCAAATAATAATAATGTAAATGCAAATGATGAAGACAGACCAAAAACATAATTTGGTTCCTTCACATACTCAGATCAGTGCTCAACTAGATTTTTGTCTGTTTAAGATAAAATCAACAAAAGCAGTATTTAGTAGAGCTGTATTTACGTTTCAAAAATATGTAAGCATTCTAACAACTTACTTGCATACAATAAGAAAATTACATCCTATAGCCCCAGTTCATAGTAACACAGTATAAATACCAACAAGGTGAAAGTTGTGTATCTATGATACCTCAACAGACTTTTATTTCAAGATGTAAGAACAATTTTTGCAGGTGTCTAGTCTGAGGGTAACGCTATAACCAAAGCAATTTTCTTTGCTTAACTTCCATTTGATTTTAACACTTCTCATCAGGTATCTAAAATGACAGACTTCACTGTGAGTCCAATGAACTCATACACTCACAATAACTCAGCTACAGCAAACTGTTTCTAATTTACCCAGTACCAACCATTTCTCTTGCTCACTTGGCCCTTTTTTGTTCATCTCACTGCTTGCCAATCTGTTCAAATACCTTGAGGAGTATCTTATATTAGAATTAAGTTACTGCAGATTTTTCAACAGTTAAAAACCTTCATGCTTACCTTCAACTGAAAAGTTAACTGTCAGTTTAAAACAGCCTTGTGAACACAGCTGCCTGTACACTTTGTGATATCCTCACCGTTCAGTGAGTCATGCCGTCTTTGGAAAGTTCTCCCTTACACTTTGGCTTTCAACAACATCTATTCAGATACGGAACAAAAGCACAGCAAAAACTTCAGTTAAGCCAGGGAACAGGAAAATGCCTCCTGAATTTTAATTAACAGAACACACTAGAAAATGACTGTACTACATTCTCATGAGGCTGCTTCCAAATCAGACTAACAAATTAAAAAAGTTTCAAGTCTCTTTTTCATTTGAGAATTAGCCCTTATTTGGCATCTTAAATAAAACCTTCCTCATAGTTTACCAGTTTTACTTATTATAACAGCCAGTGATAACAATACTCAACAATCTAGTTCTTGTTTCAAAAGAGCAAACTTACTTACAATGCAGTATTCTCCTGGAATAAACTACAGATAAAAATTCAAGTATTCAAGTATCCCAACAAGTTGGGAGGTTAAGAGAGTTAGTGGTTACGAATCTATCAAGAACATGATCTTCACTGTAGAACTCCTTTTTCTACTAACTCTAGTTTTCTAGTGTTCAGATAAACCCTGCACACTTCAGTCATGCTGACATTCATACTTAGAGAACACCATGATGCCTAAACAAGATATTTTAAATCTAGCAGGCAGCAGTGACATGCAATGGCCAGCGTACATTGGATCCAGTCCTCCTGCTTATTAGGCAATGGGGGAAGGGGGGTGGGGAAGAATGCTTTTATCTTGAAGATGTTGGCACCTTGACAGCTACAGCAATGACAGGGTCTTTTGTCTAAACTTTAAACACTCTTGTAACTAAGACACAATTAAATCTTCAGTACTCTGAAGGGCATCACCTTTAAACTATGCTAGAAAAACTTTAGAACAGCACTGCTTCTCTATTTGTACGGACTGTAGATTTTGCTCTTCTCATAATGTCAGCCAATACTGAAAGAACATTAAAATGTTACAGTTGTTTTAATAAACTGAAAGATGGAAATTAATACACCATACACAGCATGAGACACAGCTGAAAACTGTGTTAGAAAATGTGGGGAAAAAAAGAGACTGTGTAGTGAAGCAAAACTGCCTTAGGTAATTAAGCCCTTCCATCCCTCTGCGCAAAGAAGAAAATTACGCAAGTGTTTCCATTATCTGTAACTTTTCAAAGAGTATGCTTTAGTGGAAAATAGGTAATACTCACTTCACATCTTTTTCAATGAATACTAGGTACCGGTTTGCTCTAACACAAATTACCACAGATATAAACAGGATCATATTTTATCTTTTTTGACCAATTTAGGGAGATTAACTTAATTTTTTTACAGAAAATTAGTGAGAGGTTCAGGTATTTACTTGATCTAAACTCTTCGAATAAAAAGAATTTTATAAGAAAAGTCCTGTGCCACTGAACAGAGCAGGGCTCAAACCCTAGAAATTTTCTGTTCACAGTTACAAGTGTTTCAGCCAGTATTGTACCTGAAAGCTCCCCCTCTCAGCATGGCACTATAGTGTTTTCTCCAGTTATGGTGAAATTCCTTCTGGCCCCTTTCCTGTGCACTTCTCAGTATTTGCCATTTTCCTTTTTTGCAGAGGTTCACCACACAACTACTACGTCCTCTGCATTTGGCATCAGTGTCAACAAAAAACACGTAAATTTACCAGTTCAGTTTCTACTCTAAAAATCTCCTGGGGCCCTTATTTTAGATTCCCCTCATTTCATGTTCCTGATTCCATAAAAAGTCTCGGGTTATATTTGTGTATGCACGACCACAAGGCAAGATGTGGTAGCCAGAGCCCAAGTCACAGGCCAAGACCTTATAATGCTCAGTAAGGTAGGAAGGAGCTGTGCAGAGAGATTCCTCCTAATTCTAAAGAGCACATAGGAAATCCACACAAAGAGCACAGGAAATTTAACAATGCCAAGAGAACATTAGAGGCTTCTGAAAAGGATTTACAAATTAAGTGTTTTTATTCTAAGTTAGACCCAAAGATGGCAAGGGATGACAATCAAATCAAATCATGGGAGGCTATGAAGAACTACTTACCTCCACCACTGAAATGACCACTGAACGAGTTCAGACTGCCTGAAGTAGCTATAGCAGATAGGAGGTCATCTGCCAAGGCTGTGCCATGCAAACAGACCCCACAGTCATCACAAAAGATAAAAAACGGATTGACAATTATAACTCATCTGCCAAGGGCCAATATGATAAAAAGGTACATAAACGTGTCATAGTCCTACTTTTCTACCAGCAGTTAATAGCACTCTGTCCTGGACCAGTTTTCTAGCACTGAACCCAGGCTCACGCCTATGTTCCCAAATCTAAACACAAAAATATACAGTGCCTGAAGCTCTGCTAAAATTTATGCTAGCCATGCTGACCAACTCTTCCTTTTTCTGATGAGTTTCATTGGCTACATCACCTACGCATTCTTCCACTCAATATTTAATTACGCTATTTTAGCTCATTACCCATACTTCTTGTTCAATATTTACAGCTCTTAAAATCAGCTCTTTGAAGTATTTTGTTTCTCCAGAGCCGATGGCTCAATCCTTGTTTCCCAGCTCATGTCTTGGGGCATGTACTGAACCAGGAGCAAAATGTAGGCCCAATAGCTTCAAAGGGATGTCTTGCTCCCCTAGTATAATAGAAACTTCTTTGAGTTTAGCCCTTCACACGAACCACATCTGAAGAGTTTAAACAGGTTCAATCAGTCTATATACTATCTATTGTATGCTATTAAAATACAAAATACTTCCAGTTTTACGGATGTCATAAACACACCATGGTAGCATTTTAAAGGACACCCAGATTGGACACTGGTCTTTTCTGCCTAGGCCATTTCCTTGCAGTAAGATTCCTGGGAAGGCTGTTACTAACTACAGGATCTTCAGACAGGAATTTATGCGTATATAACTACTCCCCTTCTCCAGAAAAACAATTTCTTCACCTGTCACGTTTTTGCCAACCAACACTCCTCTGCCTGCACTCCACAGTGCAACCACCAACCCCTCGGAGCCGGGCGCAGAGCCGCCT